GAGATATTTCCCAAGATTCACTGCAAGATATAAAGCAGAAAGTACAAGATAAGTACAGGTAAGATTTTTAAAAAATAGCTGTTCAGTGACTTTCTTCCAAGTGGTGGTAGAGTATACCTTAGCAGTGAGTTCAGTGATAGTGAGCCTGAGTTTAGCCTATCCAGTATACTGAGCTGCTACCATGTTTCTCACAGATGCTTCTGTCCATTGGGCCTCGAATTGCAGACAGTAGTACTGGTCAAGCACAGAGGAGGGATTCAGCCATTTATCCCACTGCTGATTTCTGCTTCTGTTCCGCTTTAACTATTTAGTTGCTGCCTTGCAAGGAAGAAAGAGCCCAAAAAGGACAAGTGGCCTTTAGAGTGAGGGGTGAGAATTGGATGTTGGAATTGGAATTCCATGGGTTGTGGCTATTGATCAGTGAGCTATGAAACTTACTTTTAGAGTTTTATGTAAAGTAGTCGGAGAGTATGGGCATTTGGAAGACTTGGAGATTTAATTCTACCTAATATTTTTACTTCCTTTAACAACTATAGCTAAGTGTTGATAGTACTGTTAAATTTAATAGAGATTTTATGCATGTGAATAAATAACCCATTGAAATTACTTTTTTTGTCTGTAGAACTGCAGGATTGCATCATGATTTCTAAGGCCCACCAGTATTTCTAACACTTTATTGCTTTAAAATTAATTCCTGTGACTGGCAATCATGAAATACTGTTAAAAGCAGTTTGACATATCTGTACATCTAGTCTTAAAAATATACCAATATAAATTTTAGGTGCTTAGTTCCAAGTCTGGGTAACCTATGGGGCTATCTTAAAAATAAGTAAATGCTCTTTTTCATTACTGGAGGCTAACATCAAGTTGTGTTTCTCTTTGATTACAGATACTGTGAGAGTCGACGAAGGGTTTTGTTACAGCATGTACATGAAGGCTATGAAAAAGATCTGTGGGAGTACATTGAGGACTGAGAATGGCCCTGCATAAAATGAACTCTGAAAACTTTACCATCTAGAGTGCTCATGCAATTAAAACAAACAAAACAAACACAAACAAGGAGGCACTAAGCCTATTCTGACACCGCTGGTCTGTAGTACCAGAATTCTGTTTTGTTAACGGAAAGTTTAAGTAAATTATATTGTAATAAAAAAGGTAGATAAACCATTGTACTACAGTATTCTAGGCCGCCAACAAAAGTGTGACAGACACACTAAAAGCCCTCCAACTTTAACTTGTAACGTAGCTTCATTCTCAAAGCTGACTCCTTTTTTTTCTTTTTCTTTTTCCTGAGTGTAGTACAGTTAAAATTTCAAACAGCTCCTTGATACTGCTTTTCATGTCCAAACCAGCCATTTTGTTGTATTTTGGTAAAGGACCTCTTCTTCCTCCCCTACACATAGAACTACACCCACACACACACACACTGACTCTCTTTCTCATATCCCAAGGTCATGAGTGAATGATGATTAGTTCCTTGTAAAGAAAATCTTGAAATGGGGAAGGGGTAGGCAGCAAGAGGATTAAACCAACAAAAAACTTTGTATATGACTTTTAAAACAAGAGGACAACACAGTATTTTTCAAAATTGTATATAGTGCATATGCATGGACAAAGCAAGCGTGGCACGTGTTTGCATAATGTTTAATTACAAAAAAATATTTATTCTTTAAAAATCTTCAAGATGATGTCTATTTGCTGTGCATTTTCTTTCAGTTTGCTTTATCTTTCCAGGGTTGGGGTTGGGATAAAAGGTGTGTTGATTTAGCACTTCTGGAAGACCTAACTAGAACCCACAGTTTACCTTTCCTGAGGTTACTCTGCCCTTTCTGATTTTGGGATGTCTGATGCTGGCCATGAGCATCATGCCTTGAATTCCCAGCTCTTGATCAGGGACAGGGAGGTCAAGCTCTGACTAAATGCCATGACCTGATAAGGGCTGCAGCAGGAGGTTTTGTGGCTGTAGATGATGAATGATCCTATCCCCAACCTAATCCCCCTCCATGGCCTCATGCCTCTACCCAAGCCCTTGTGTGCCCACATGCACACTGCTGTAGACTTCCTAGATTCCATCTCACATCCAGAGGAAGCATTTCAAAATTTCTTTTCCTTTCCTTTTTTTCCCTTAATTGCTGCTTTGAGCCTTTTAAGATTTTAGTTATGGCTCATTTCTCACTCCTTCTCTACATTAGGGTGTCAAATAGAATGTTTTGCTTTAAATATAAATAAATAGCCATTCACTTAGTCTCAGATTGTGAATTTAAAAAGGCGGATACTGAAATTGCTTGTGCGTGTTGCTGTGGGTTCAGTTTGAAGGCGAACACCCCTAGAACATGGTATTCCCATCTAGTGCATTTAAATAGAAATCACTGAGTTTGCTTTTTTTCTATTGTCAGCAGATAGGAGAATTAATAATGCATTTTAGCTGTGATGTCCATTTTTATGAAATTTCTACTAAGAGCTATGTTAAAAGTAAAGGATGGTGGTGGTTCTATTATAATACTATATACCAGTTTAGGCCATTCATGCTGTGGTGTTTTTCAACAGGTCAGCATCCCTAAATCTGTCAGTTTTATACAGGAGTGCAGAGTGAACTAGGCAACTAGATTAAGAGGTCTAAATATTAAATACTGAGTCAGGCTGAGGACCTCTTTGTCTTCCTTTAATTGTCTGTGCCTAGGGAGTGTTTACCATTTGTAAGGCAGCCTGGTCTGCTCTTGTATTGTACATCTTACTACTCCATTGGGAAGTAGGTTCACTTTCCTCTGGCCTTTTGCCTAAGTTAGGCTTTGCTGAATCAACCCTACTTTTCCTTTTAGAAAAGGTTGTTACACGAGATGTACTTGCAACTGTTCTTTTCCCATCAAAAATCAGTGAATGTTTGCTGAGTATATTATGCTGCTTCCTTAAACCACTTGTCGCTTTAGGATCAACTTTACCTGTTCCTTTTCTCCTTCCCTCACTTGCCACCTCAGGTGCAAATCTGAACTCAGTGTTTGCTTCTTCCATATTCTTGTATTCCCTTCCCCCCACCCCATCATCCATTTGACTTTATTTTACTTTAAATGACTGCATCAATCTTAAAAAACATTTATCAAAACTAAGGAGATTTTTTTTTTTTAAAGCTTAAGTTCCTTTCCCTGGTAACTTTGAAAAACAGCCAGAGTTGCTATAGATATATGTGGTTCCCTTAAAATGCTTTGTGTATGTGTGGTGTTTTTATAAAATCTTAACAGTTAACTTTGCAGTATCTAGGTTTGAGTTTCATAAATCTTCACATGCTCCCCTTGCAACAAGTATCCAAAAACAGTGTATGCACTTGGTAATATCAGTTCCCACCGTGGAGGAACAGTGCTTTCTAGAGATGCTTTCTAGTTTCAACGTTGGCATACTACCTGAGAGTATTGCAGTTGTGAGTGCATTCCCTGATTTGTGTGGAAGCTGAACTGGCCTTTTCTAATTCCAAGCTTTTAACAGCTATCATCATATTTGACAGAATTCCCAGAGGTAATTGCTTTCTTTGTTAGTAGCTTCAGTGCCCCAGCTGGGATAGGTAAGCCATATTGTATGACAGCTTCCCTATTTCACCTACTAAGTCTTTTTATCAGAGGGCTCTATTCACAGTAAGCACCAGGGTCTCCTTGTCTTCTTGAGGTCAGTTACATTGTCTTTTCAAAAGTGCATGCTTCATTTGAACAGCAAATTCATTGAGCAGCAGATGGACTTTTAAATGATTTAAAATAAAATTTTGATCCAAAGCTCAGGACACAAACTGCAGTGGTAAAATTGAGTAGCATATAATATAATCAGACTCTAAATTCTGTGTAATTTGCTGCAACCCAGATTGTATGTGTTTTATGTGTGTTTAAATAAATACATTAAATACACATGTGTATACATACACACATATACAACAGATCCAGTACTGACTTCATTTAAAATGGTTGAATCTGCAGTGTAATATTGGTTCAGCCATTATTAGGAACTACAATTTAGTACAAGAGAGAAAAGGACTTAATGTAACATTCAATAAGTTACAAATCCCGGTATAGAGCACTTGGGGGATGGGATGGGGTGGGTTGGTGAGACAATCAGATCGGTAAATTGATTAAATGCTCCTAACCCTGTATTTTGTGCATAGAGCACCCTGTGCTATGGAAATAACTGTTCTTAGATTTTCATTGTAACTGGACTGTTCAGGTTGCCCAGAGGGAAAGAACATTCCTAATTCTAATAAAATAAACTTTTATTTTGTTATTCCATTAGTTACTTATGTTTATTTTCATAGTTAAAACAGATGACTAGGTGGCTAACAGCCACTTGTATTATGTGCCTTATTCACTGTTCCTACTTAATATGAAATGTCACAATTTGATTCAGTTTCTTTGCAAGGAACTGTGAATGAGACCATCCCCCCACACTTGGTTAAAATAAGGCCTTCAGAGTATTTTCTGAAAGCTTTCTAATTTCTGTGTCTCAAACCTAGATTGCAGTTTATGTTGTTAGATGCTCAGATCCTTGTCAATTTTTTGGAGGTAAAATACTTTTAAAGTAGTCTCAGTTAATCTCAAAACTCCTTCACATCTCTCCATTTAGCTCACTCTTGACAGCGGATTTCTCCCATGGGAATGAAGGGAGAGTTGACTTAAAGAAGGTCCCAAAGTCAGAGATAATTGTCACTGATAGCCTGATTAAGTCCAGGTTTTAGGACAATTTAATTGTCTTATATCTATGAGAGTTCTTTTATCACTTTGATCTTCAAAGCACTTTAACTTACATTACTGTCTGAAACAAGTGGAGTAGAAATACTTTACAGAGGAGGAAAATAAGGTTCAATGAAGTTAAGTAACTTGCTCAAGATACCCCAGTTTCTTCTATCTGGGACTCAGACAACATTATACTACCTCTTTGTATCATATTTTCTTAACTTGGTCTCAGAAGGACCTAATATTCATTACCGGAAAAGGTGGCTTGTTACCATATTGTACTTTATTTTTTAATGTCAGATGGGTAATGTGTTGACATTGCAGATATAACAAGGTTTGAGAGAGGCCTGTCACGTGTGAGTATAAAAACCCATCATGACGTTTATGAACTACTAAAGGATCATATGCTGTACTTTTAAACCACATCAAAAACTTTATAAATGCCTATTGCTGCTACTGTTGGAGGATTGCTATATATGATACTATCTCTGATGTTTGATTTGTTGCAGAGTTTGCAACAGTTAGGTCCTGTGTTTGGCCTAATTGTTAAACCAGCCATGGATAGAAGAGTAGCTCGTTTCCTCTTCTAGACTCCCCTCAGTCATTCACCATAAGGAGGCTATCACATGTGATAATTGAGAATAAATGACTTAGTATGACTTTATATGTACTACCCAAGTAATTTGCTGCAGCTGTTAGTCCAATTATTCAAACGAATTCCATATGTAAAGAATTTTGAATAGGCTACTGGAACTTTTTAGAGGATTTGTTTTGTAACTAATAACCAAAATGCACAGAAGGATATCTATTTGATCTCAGCATTTATCCTTGGAACTGGATGGTGTTTGGGGTTTTAAGATAACAAGTAGTATCATTATGGGAAAATTGTCAGTCTTTCAAAAACAGGAAAATATGTGGGCCCCTCAGATTTTTCATCTATCTTTTGGGGATAAAATTGATAGATATCTAGTTAAAGTAAAGGGATTTGCTTCTTACCCAACATGAAATAGCCAACTCAGAAATGCTCAATTGGAAATCAAATTGTGCCTAATATTGGATTAGACAGATGACTTTTAGATTTTCTTTTTTTGCTTTTTGTGGAATTAAATCCCATTTTTAAGGCAAGTGTTGTTTGTTGATCTTTCTTCAGGCAGTAGCATTTAGAATGGGAAAGCTAATAGATTCTTGTGAAAAGCAGTTTTCAGGCTATGATATGCTGGTTTGGGGACATTTTCAGAGCAGAAACTGGTTTATAAAGCAATCACATGTTGACATGTAACTGCTGTAATAGTGTCTAAAGCACAGCCTAACAATAGTAATTCAGGGGTCTCATGTAATCCAGGAGTCTCCAATTCACATGTCTGTAAGAGCCAGATAAATATTCTAGAAGTAGACTACCCTGGCCTAGGTGGGCTTTAGAGGAGCATGTGTAATCCAGACTTAATGTGAATGCTTGTAATTGTGAAATGTTGGCAATTTGCCATATTTTTAAATGTGGGCCAAAGAAAAACTGCCCATGGGCTATCATTTCTCAGCTTCTATTGGTCTTGGGTTGCAACCTAAAGCCACCATCCTGTCCACTTGATGTTATTCCTAGATCATTGGTTCTCGTAGTCTTAGGTTGCAACTTTATGCCACTGTCTTGTCCATCTGATGTTATCTAAATCAGTGGTTCTCATATGTGTCTGTGCATTGGAATCATGGAGAAGCTTTTAAATAAAACACTAATGCCTGAGTCCCACCTTAAAAGAGATGATGATGGCTCGGCGCC